GGCTTGCATGAGTTGAGTGGAATAGATGAATTGCTCGAGGGGGTCAGGAGCGTAGCGGAAATTTTCGACAAGATAAAGAGCGATACGGCGCTCGTGACCGTCGGCTTTGTTGTGGAAATCGACGGTGGAGGATTGGGCGAAACGGTCCGGATCGTCTTTACCGAGTGGAAGGAATGCTTCTACAGTTTTGATATTTGGGAATGCTTCCATGCCGAACTCTGAGACGAAGCGTCCAACGAGCTTGTCGAAGTTTTGGTACTTCTCTTGAGAACCGTGCCATACATTCCACTGATGCAAATCACCAACGGTAGGATCAGTGGTTTTCTTTCCACCCCATGGACTACCATAGTGATAGTATGTATCTGGAATTAGTTCGGTGCAAGCATCTACTAAAATCTTCTCATATATATATCTTGCTGGAAAATTGGTCTTCAACCAACTCTCGGAATCCTTGTTGTCAAAGTCGTAAGTGAGACCTTCCGATTCTTGGTATTGGTAATCTTCATTATTACCAGCCCAGATAACGATGGATGGATGGTGTCGAAGAAGCTTTACATTCTCCTCGGCTTCTCTCTTCACGGAAGTGAGAAAGTCTGGGAAAGCAGGATAGTTTCCACAACCGAACATGAAATCTTGCCATACCAGAATGCCTAATTCATCGCAAGCATCATAGAAGGCTTGTTCCTCAAATATCCCACCTCCCCAAACTCGAATCATGAACTGGTTTCCATCTGCTACCAGCTTAACCCAATCATAATACTTTTCTTTGCTAATGCGGGGAATAAAGTTGTCGGCTGGAATCCAGTCACTGCCGCCGCAGAATATTGGAATGTTGTTGATTCTGAAAAAGAACGATGTTCCTGGCTGGTCTTTCAACGGGTCCTGCACTAGCTCTGCTCTACGCAAGCCAAACTTCTTACTTTGCGTTGATATACTATTATCGTTGTGAATTAAAGTTGCCGTAAGATCATACAATGGCTGTTTACCATATCTGATCGGAAACCATAATGCAGGATCTTTGATAGTAAAGGCATGGGTAGCATGTCCTTCAGAACAGGTAACTGTCTTACTTGCAACAAGCTCGCCGTCCAAAGTAATATCGAACTTAACTTGCGATGCTTCACCCTGAACATCAGCCTTCGCAACGAGTTCCGCAGTTTTCAAGGATTTATCCACATTGCTTGTGAAATAGACGTCCGAGATGCGGGATGTGAAAATTTCAAGGTTTATTGGTCGCCATGGCCCACAAGTCATAAGGGTTGGCCCCCAGTCCCATCCCTATATGAGGTCAAATGTCAGTGATTTCTAACTCTTCTCCACGCAAGAAGACATTTACATACCCAGTGATATTGTGCTTTCCGAACAGCAAGTCTAGAAGTATCTCCGTTCCAACAGCCCCAGTGATGGTCCGGATATTTCTCCACTATGGCACATCCTTTGAGATATGCGCTCTCGAATGTGATTTCTAGTTCATTTTCTCCCTCCTCTTTTAGGTGAGATGTGATGTCAATCCGTTCTGGTATGAACATATTATCTGTCTTGAGAATCTCCTTTCCATTCAGCAGAACGGTGGCATAAGTATCTAATCCATCAAATGCGAGGACTGCTTTAGTGCCAGATTTGTCTTCTGATGATATCGTGGGCGATGAAAATGTTGTTCTGTATATCCAGACAGTCTCACCAATCCATTGGACGTCTTTTTCTTTCTTTCCCATGAAAGGATCTTCTATGATGCCATTGGCAATGAGATCCAAATGAACATTCGTGGGAAATTGTGCGACAGGGAGAAATTTAGAATCTTCATTGTCCGCCTGTTTGAAGGTCCAATTCTTATCGATTGGAATTATGGTATGCTCAGGCATATTGGATGAAGTCGATGTAGATACAGTTTGATGTGAATTGATATTTGAAAAGGTATGGTCTGTACGCATTGTAGGGAGGGAGCATAAGTATCCTCTAGAGGAGTTGGCATGCGGGTGAAATGATCTATCAGCAACAACAAAGGAATAAGACTCTTCTTATATCTGAGTCTTGCTTAGTTCTCTGATTTAAGTAACAAGTAGCAAGTTCAAGAAGTGTTGTAAATTCATGGATCCCATATGTGAGGTTTCGGAGCTCCAAAATAGGATTACTACGTGCGGGGTCTTCATCCCGCGTTTGACAAAGATTGGGTATTAATAAGTTGTCTTCTGGATAAGAAGGAAGGGATGATAGCTCTTGCGGCCAATACTGCCCAATCTGATTGGTCGGTTGCACACTTTTGCAACATCTTCGCAGAACTAGGGACACTCGGCAATCCATTTATTCTGCATGTACGGAGTGGAAACGAGGAGTTGTGATCATACAGTAGGTAATGTTGGATTGATGATTGGTAATTAATAAGTTGACGAATCAAGGAAGCCATTCGGATTATCTTCGGAGCATTACCTCGGAAGGAGCAAAACAACTTGGAAGGCCGAGCATCAGAACATCCGTACAATCTGGTCATGTGAAACATACTGTAGTCGAAGATCTGTAATGTCACAAGTTGCTGGTGGATTTCTTGATGTCGCTGTCGCACAGCCAAAAGGTATGGACTGTGACAAGCACCCTGGTAGGGCTTTACAAGGACAGCTTTCCGGGATATTGTAACAACAACCCCAAGCATTAAAACGCCGTACCTGCAGAACGACGCCGAGCTTTTCAAAAAGCTTTGGAAATTGTAATGTTGATTGGCGATAGTATCAAGAGCACATGGCAGACCCAAGAGTCTGCTAGTATAACCTCGTTTGACAAGCCATCCATCTACTTTACCCGTTTTGCTTTCTGGGCCCTGATGTGATGTAGTGAAATGTCACAACCTCAAAGTTTATATTGTAGAGGCTTTTTGCACTTCCCAATATATCTTGTTACATCCCATTTTCTCACGCCAATCGTCCAAATATGATTCTATCGGACAGTTTCGGCAAAGTACCCATGCAACAGGACTCGTCGGCTGTCCAAAATAAGGTTTCGGAAGCAGTCCCTCCGCATTTTATAGGAAGAAAACCTCTGCAACAGCTCAAAGTGGTGATGATGATAAATGCACGTCACAAGTATGGGCAAGAGTTTTGTCCAGGTAGCTCATGTTTGCCGATGCCCCTTAAATTTAATTAAATTCAAGGGTTTGAAAACGACCCTATTCCCCGACTCGTGACAGTGTCTATCTATATCTACCGCAACCGGCGTACTACGGAGTATATGTATGCGCGACATGCAATGAGGTCTCATTCATTATTGAACATGTTAAGCCCCGACGGATCTATGTACCGCTGCCGCATCGATGGAACCATATATCTTGTATTCACATGTTGGCAAAACAGGTTCATTGTTGCACCAGTTTCACTGCGCATGCATGACATAAAGATTGCCATTTTCATAGAACACTTTCAGCGGCAATTACAAAATTTTCCCTGACTATAACAGTGCCGTTCTATTTTCTGTATCTTTTTCTTTTGCCAGTTCTTAGCCTGAAGTCGTCGGATCCATCATAAGTTAGTCCCCGAAGTTTCGGGCCTAGTTTATCAAACACTATTCACTCATATTTTAAACGGGAGGAATTACTTCGTTTACATGCAATGTCTCCTCAATATTCTATCCTGTAAACTATATTCGGCAAAGTTCTTTCCTAAATGACCGTACGACATCGTTTAGGGCAACCGATGTCACCAGTGTCCGAGGCTACGGCGGATGCCATGCAACATTGCTTAATACGAGAGAGATATGTACGACTTATCTTGAATGTCTCGCCTCAGAGCCTCTAGACTAGGCAACATGCTTATTTTCTGGCCATTCTGAGGTAACAGACTATTATCTATTACTTTTAGGTGGTATATTTGATCTCTGTAAACTGAGAATAATGCTCATGTGGCCTTGATGCTACCATTCACAGGAGGGTAGTAAGGATAGACCGGAAACTTGTCAAAACCCCCGCAATATTCTGTCTCATGCTCTGAGAGAAACAACACTATGTTCTTTTCCCACAAATCCCCTCGATCCATATGGTATTTCACGGCTTGGCGACGACCATTCTTCATGGATGAAAGACTCTTGGCTCAATATATAATGCAGCTTTCCTTCCTTCTGGTTCTTAAGAATAAGGAAAACGACCAGCCTCACTCAATCTCAAGAACCTTACTATCGAAGCCAAAACTCGAGTTGATGAGTCAAGATCCGACACTCAACAATAAGCAGTGAAGCTATCAATTTCAAACGGTCCTCCATATGATGCAGTAAATTCCACTATAGATCTAATCCCACTTTCAGTAGATAAATCAAAGAAGAGCTGTCCTTTCACCCTTCTTCAAAGGTCTCTCACTGTGTTGACTAATCATCATTGACCAAGAATATGAGATACGCTGTGATTATACCAACCTGTTAAATTCTCCAAATAAACCCCTTGAAGCTAACACTCCGTTAGCAGGTGAACGTAACGATTTGCTTCTCTCTTGCTCCAACGAAAATTATCTTCGATTATAATACTCAAAAAGCTTACCAGTAGTGAGCAAGCATTCTAGATATATTGATATTTCCAATCGGTCGAACTCAAGATGGACTAACCTTGGAACTTAAGTTTAGTTCCTTGGGTGTACTACCTATTTCGGAGCTGATACATATTCACTTGTCGAGAACGTAGCAAAGATAAGGTATAGGCTAAATAATGTTCACCAATTCTTTTACTTGTTCTCCACAAGACCTCGATATGATATGACGGTGATAATATTTTACCAATTTCTCTGGATATGGGTCTGTTGAATCAATCAATTGTCTGAGTACACTGAGAGTCACAATCTGCAGATGATGAATCTTCATGAGACATGGTTTTCAATTCTAACTAATCTTCAATTCTTAAAAGAATGAAAAGAGTCTTCCACCTCAACCTAATTACCAAGCAACAAATAAATCTCGTTGTCCTGTGTCTGCATCGGATATCGGCCTCTTCTAGGAATATCCCTTTCATACCGGGCATTCTCGTTGCTCAACTAACATTGACAGGGTATCTCATCTTCGCTCTCTGACTCCGAAGAAGGATAGACATAACTATCGTCATCACTGTCGAGGCCACGAGAAGCACAACACGTTACACAGAGACAAACACAGTCATCCGCATCCGCAGGAATCTTAGGCGTCGCTAGCTCACTAGCACTATAGGTCGCCACGGTGAACGTGGATTCCTCGTTTCCAACTGCAGGACCATTCTTCCATGGATTTATTATTATCCCACAAGCGAGGTATTCGGTGCCGGTGTTGGGATGAATCGGACAGTGACAGAGGTCTTCACTCTCATCTTCCTCGCTACTCTCGTCGCAATTAGGACAATACACCTCCCGGAATTCGAGAGTTTTCTCGTCAGAATCCACATAACCATTAAATTCCAGCCAAAGTTCGTCTCTTTTTTCCTGCATCGCAACAAGAGCTGTCATCAAGTTCAAATCTAACATGCAAAGGTTCTCAATTTTAGAATGATAAATGTTGCTTTTGTCGACGCAGATTTCATGCCAGATGCTTAGATATTCATCGAGAATTTGGGACATAGTACGTATCTTATCTTTGTTGTATGGAAAGACCATGCGGCGGAGAACTTCGAGGGTAGCTTCTATAAAAACAGCTGATTTTTTGGGATCATCAAGACCTGGAAATGGGAATTGAGGAGGATTTGCATTAGAGTTTTGATCCTTGGCATCTAATGCGCTTTTTTCCATGACTATGACTGGAAGTGTGACGCCCGGGGTTGCGTCTCTGGGGGTAGGTTGGGTTTCCGCGGCGGGTTCTTCGCTGAACATTGTCGAAAGCTTGGATGTATTTCCGTATGGAGGTTGAAAGACGACAATGATCAGAGTAACGAATTTTGGCGTGGAAGAGGGCAAGTATATGTATTTAGGAACAGAAGTTTGCAAACTTCTGCTAGACACTAAGCATTCTCTAGATGCGTCTCAATATGACCAGCCAGCAGAATATTATCTCGTAGTAGATAGATTTGACTTCCGCCATTTGGTTTTGAATCTGCACAAAGCCATTGAAACACCATGGACAACCTCAAAGTTACGAGACGTGAATGGAAAAGACTCAATTTTATGGAAACGAAACAAGCAATTCCTATAAAAGGGCTCAGAGAGAGATCACGTGGAACGTTTGGTCTCAAGATCGCATTGATCTAACTGTCCGCTCCACACTTATCATGAAATTTGCAACTCCGCTACAACAGAGGCGACATTCATGATAGTTTTTAAGAAGCTCACTGTGCTATCTGCGCGAATTTGGATGCCCTTTTTTAAACTTTAAACAAAAACATACATGAATGCATTCTTCAGGGTAGAGATACCGATGTGAATAATGTTTCAGATGCCGCGAGAAGATCGTTGTGCCGATATTCCGGAAACATTTGTACTTAGCTGGACTATATAATCAAATGCTCATTATGATAATAGTGTGATACAGTTTTTTGATGCTCTTTGACGATGGGGGGAGCGTTTCGTCCTCTTCCCCTAGTGAAGCCAAGAAAACAATGAGAAAAATAGTAGAAATACAAAGGAAACGTATTCTAGAACAATGCATACAGTGTATGCTATAATATAGCATAATAATATACTGAATCGGATTGTATATTTATATTGCGCAATGTAGTCCTGCATAGTGTATTGGTGCTGTAAAATTACATTATTTTGAGGCTCTTTGATATCAGAGGAGAGAGGACTATCCCGCCCTTTTCTCCTAGCGGATCAAAGAGCTAGTGCATGAAAGAATAGAAGAGAAGAAGGGGGGGAGATGATACTAAAGGTATGCTATAAATCAACTTATGCGACGCGCATTAGAACAGTCCAAAAACACTAGTCTCTGTGCTCACATACTCTATTGCGTAAAGGAAGTGATTTACTGACCAAAATATCGTAGGTAGACTCTGAGTATTCAAGTACCTTGATTGTCCGATTCATTGTGGAAAATGGAATGATGTGTGTTCGACACTTCGAAGTGACCGGATTCCCCATCTTTGACCGAACTTGGTCTAGAGATCCAATAAGCACCTTGCCAAACCAACAATATCATTCAATAATCGATCCGTGAACGTAATATTTCGACCCACACGAAATTGAGTTATTCCCGACGTTGTGGTTTGATTTGGATTCTATCCATGTATGCTTCCCCTGCTTATCATCCTGATAGACATATTGAATCTAGTTCAGTTTCAGGGATTCTTAATTCATGGATGCCATGCGACAAAATGGGGTCGATTAAGAACAAACTGTTGTCCAAAATCTCCGCTGTGATAGAATTTGACAGTCTTTACGAGTGTAATTGCGAGCTCAAGCCCGAGTGCAAGTGCAACTTCGTATCTAATGTCCATTGACTGAGAATGAAGTATCCTTCAGAAAGAGATTGAAAGATTGAGTCAAGTTCAGAGACCGCTGTACTTCCCGAAAAGCTGATTTTGTCTAATTTTTCGGTCCTTGGTCTCGAGAAAGATTGGAGAGTCCGTTAATCCCTCACTTGGCACATGATAATATGAGGTCACACATCTAAGCGGTGATAAGGCCGATTGGATAAGTAAATGCAAAGACAAGGGCAAGAAACAAGGGTTGATGACTTGGATGCATCTGGCATTCTCGTGTTTGTTCCGCTACTGCGAGTAACGAGAGTGAGCTCATGTAGGTTAATGTAACTACCTAGGCAAGAGGTAGCTGATGGGCTGAAATGCGTACCGCGGAATGAGAAAAAGAATTGATCACGTGTCAGAGTAAGATTTGCCGAAAAACCATCGTTCCCTCCAATCACGAATCTTCAATTTTCACAACGATGCCATTCACGGACATGAACCCCATCAATATTCGAGACCCAGCAAAAGATGCCTGCCTGTACTCGTCGCCTGCTTCTGTGCCACCGGAGGATTTTGTCGTTAGGCAGAAGTCAATATCACAGATAGCACGCTGCTGATTGTATCGTTCACTTCCATTCGTTGATTCGGTCCCATCACTATCTTCTCATTAGATTATTAGAGATACCACAGGCCGCGATTAACCATCCGAGCCATCATGTAGATGTGAGTATTGATGTCCTCAATATCCTCGATACTCTACCACTATCGAGTTCAAATCAGATACAGTCAGATCTTAGAGGCCGCTCTTGCCTGACCTCTGCTGCATCGAAATGCTCGGTGCTTACAACGTTGCACTCATGAATTGTCATGGTAAGTCATTGCCACATGCCAAGCACATGCGATTGGTAGTCGGAAGTTAGAACAAGCTTTTCCAAGCCTTTCCTACAAGTTACAGATAACTGTTTGGCTGGCGCGCAGAAAAGAACGAAACATGAGTTGACAGGTCGAAGGAAGGGTAACTGGTGATATCAGCGTTCAGTTTGATGAGACTTATCTCCTGTTAGAAGCCACCGTCTTGAATAGGAAGGTGTGCATGCCGCCATGCTTTGACCCCGGAAAGTATTATCAACATGATAAACTATTGGCTACTTTCCGAAGCTTTCAAACTTTATTTACGAAATTGTGTCAAATCATCAAGGTTTGGCGAACTTCATCAATCATTCTAGAAAGCGAGTCATCCAATAGTAATTCATCGCGATCGCAATTCTTGGCCTCTCTTCAAACCCTTGAGTATTATGGTCCTTATCGTTGGTGGAATACTTACTGGTTGCATCGAATGCAGTAATAATATAGTTGATACTTGTCTGCATGATCATCATGTTAGCTACTTGAAGAAGGTGTGAACGAAACGCCACTTCTACCCCTCCCATGCATGTTTTTCGATTGAGTTATTTGATATTTATATACTCTCTCTTCCCGTCACAATGAGCTAATTCATGTTGTTCATTCATTATTTTTATTTTACAGCAAGCCTTGGAGACTATCCCCTTGACTTGATCTACCCATATATTGCCCAGCATGACTACACCCATGGCAAATCTCGCCTTGGAAGGTGGTGATCCGCGAGATCCTCATCATCCCGTAACAGGTGATGCGAAGGCCACGGAACTGGCGTTGCCTTCAATACACGACCCCAGTATTACTTTTGAAGAATATGTATACTGGGCCGAAATCACTCGTGCTGAGGAAAAAATTGCAAATGAGAAGTTTGTTGCGGCTCAAGGACCGAGAAGTTTGAAATCCACGATCACAAATCGATTTTCCAAGGGAAAGGGCGCAAAAGATTCATTTGACACCCCACCCACAACAACCTTAGCTTCAAATGAAAAGGACGGCCTCGACGAGAAGTCTGTTGTTCCCGGTAGATCAGTACAATCCGCTGTCTCAGAGGCTGAGTGGAAGACCGCGAGTCGTGCTGTCCGTACCGCTGGTTGGTCAGGTGTCTTTTATCTCATCACAACTGATATTCTTGGACCTTTCAGTGTTCCTTGGGCCTTTGCTCAAATGGGCTGTAAGTAGATCAAATATTCAAACATCAAGAACAGTACTAACACAAGCTACAGACGGCCCGGGAATTGCTCTCTACACTGTATTCGGAGGATTTGCTTTATATTCCGGCTGGCAAATTTTCAATATCTTTCTTGCGCTTGACTCGGATAAATATCCTGCAAAGTCGTTTGCTGACCTATTCTTCCGTGTTTTTGGTACTTGGGCTCGTCATGGTATCAATGTCGCCCAGTGTGTCCAACTGCTATTCACTGTATCTATCCTCATCCTCTCCAACGGTCAATCCATTTCACAAATCGCCAAAGGAAATCTATGCTTTATTGTTTGTTTGATAGTTTTCATGGCTGCTGGTATGATCTTGGGACAAATTCGTACTCTTCAAAGGTTCGGCTGGCTCGCAAACTTCGCAGTTTGGATCAATGTCCTCATTATTTTCATCTGTATGGGTGTCGTAGCCAATTCGCCTCCTAATTATGCTACGGTTGAAGCTAGTTTCGGAGATTCCTTTGGCCCAGGCAAAGTTCACGTTTACGGAGGAACCCCGCCCAGTGGCAAAGCAACCGGAGGAGATGGATTCACCGGATCTCTTAATGGACTTAACCAAGCTGTCTACTCCTACGGTGGCGCTATGCTTTTCGTTGCTTTCCTTGCCGAAATGCGACATCCAATGGATTTCTGGAAAGGCCTTATCTGTGCTGATCTATTCATCTACTTTGTGTACATGTTCTTCGGTATCTTCGTTTATTCTTACCAAGGTCAATATTCGTTCAATCCTGTCATCCAAGGTCTCTCGCCCTACAACTGGCAAACCGCAGCAAACATCATGAATCTGATCACTGGTCTTATTGCCGCCGTACTCTACGGTAACATTGGTATTAAAGTGGCATACATTGAAGTTTTCCAAGGTCTTCTCAAGGCACCACCTTTGACCACAAAATCCGGTAAACTTCTCTGGATTGCAATGGTGCCTCTATACTGGGTAATCGCTTTCGTTGTCTGCGCTGCAATCCCTCAATTCTCTTACATTTCTGGTCTCGTGGGTGCGCTCTTTATCCTCCAATTCACATACACATTTCCCGCTATTCTCGGGTTTGGATATCAGATCCAAAAAGATGCTATGCTTCCAGGAGAAGAGTCATTTGATCCTTCAACTGGAACGTATAATTATATTGATAGAGGTGTCAAGAGATGGATTAGAGGATTCAAGGTCAATTGGTTGTTCAACATCTTCAACCTCATTTACTTCCTTGGGGCTTTGACAACCGCGGCGTTAGGTATATATACTAGTTGTCTTGGCTTGATGAGTGCTTTTGATGGGGCTAGTGCCGCAACTAGTTTTGGTTGCACGCCACCTGTTTAGATGCGTGGAATCTATGATTAAAGAATAGAGTCGGTGGTTGGAATTGCGCGGGTGGATTACCATGAAGCGGGAAAGGATGGTGGAATCAAGACGTGTGACGCCAAAGTGCGGAAAGGAGATTTAAAGTGTCTTTGAGAGGCATTGAGTCATGTTCATGTTGCAAAAGCAATTCTTCGGAGACAAATGATGTTGGTCGTATGAAAATCTAGTGGAGCTAGGTACTTTTGTTTAGTCCTACCATCACATTTTAATATTAATTTTGCTGTATGAAAAGTCAGCGCAGTATGTTTGAATTCGTCTCAACATCCTGATATATTTCAATGTTCAACTACAGGTCAATATTTCAATTCGTCTCAGTATACCAATTCATTTCAATGTTCGAATCCAGTTCGATATTCTAGTCCAGCTCAATATTTGAATTCGTTTCAATGTCTGAATTTATTTCTACATTCTAATTCATTTCAGCATTCTCATTCAATTTTAGTATTTCATTTCATTTCATTTCAGCATCCAGACTCATTTCAGTAGGTAGGTATTTGAAGTCTTTTCATCTCTTGGAAATCAAGAAGTTTCGATTCGATCTACGAGAGATTTGATTTGATCATACACCATTCAACTCGATCGAAATTCACCCTCTGCTTGTGATTATTCAAGAGTCTGGTGACTGGTTCCATGAGATGTGCATCATGAGTATCATGGTAATGCCACCATTGTATCTTTACCTAGATAGCTAGGGTAGACAATACATCTGTTCAAAGCCTCCTTCACACTCCCACTCCCACTTTATTATCCACTTTTTTTATCCCCATCCTTAAGGGAGGCTACTCCCACTTCTTCTCACTAAATAGAACTAAATTCCCCCGTCAAAGTCCCTCTATTTGGATGATCTACTCCACATTGCAAACTTTATGTTCACTGTTCACTACTCACCATTTCCATCTTCAGACTTCCAAATTTCAGACTCCAGACTTCAGACTCCAAGCTTCAGACTCCAAACCGCAGTATCACTACATAGTCGAGCATGCAAGTAAGAGAGGAGCGAGTGGGGAAATAGAGTGAGGTGCGAGATGATGTTAATGACTAGTTTATTTATAATATGGTATTGTTTTGGGGAAGGAGATGAGGGAGGAGATTTAGAAATGGAAGAGATTATTTAATCACATATAAAAACTATACGTAAGAAAAAACTTCCATGATATGCTGATATTTGTAATTATCAAAAGTATCAAAGATGATTTTTATACTGCGTAAATCACATGACGAAATATTGACGAATTCGGCTTAGTGGATTATTCGAGAAACAACACATTATATCGATACCTTCGTCCAAGAAATTCCTTCCTCCTTAGGCGTTAACCAATATTCAACTTCTCACTTCCCTCCTCTTCATTATATTATCATTATCTCTATTCTTATTATGTCAAGCTTCAATCATCGCTATTGTATCTACTGGCCGAGTCTACGGTAGAATCGTAGTTAATAGTGAAAAGCCCCAAACTATTTAGGGGAACTCTCACGCACGCCTCCTACGATGGATCTACAATTATGAGGCAGTATACATAGCACTACATCAGATTTGCACTCAAAAAATCATTTATCATGATTTCCGAGCCTTTTCAGTATCGTGAAAGTCACGTTCGTCGTGCTTTTGAACCCAGCTATCTTTCCTGGAGCTCTCTTTCCTCAAACGTATGTTTGTCATTTTTCCTTCTAGTGCTTTTATATATTTCATTGATTGGAATGTTCCTTCTATAAATGGGTGGATTTGTTAGGAATGTCCAGAAGCGTTGTTGCCATTGGCTATGGTGCCTTCCTGCTATCATGAGGTTGTCCCCGATTACATTGAACACATCAAATCCATCAATCTTCCATCCCTTCTTCTCTTCCTTTTCTTCTGACATACACAACAGATTTAAATTCATTTGCATCCGTTCATTTGATAGGTACATCAATCAATCCTCTCAACGTCATCTTGAATTTCTTTTGTGGAAAAGAACAGAGATTGTCTGCTTGTGGTGGATTTGAGTTGATTTTGCGGATTATTCCAACATGTAAGTGACCACTTACATTTCCCTCGTTCAGTTTATCAGGATCTCTCTTTTGACATATGGTTTTTCTTCGTTTGTACAAACAACATTGATTTCAAAAAGTCGAGGTGTTAAGAGAGAAATCCTTATCACCATGGCCTTTTGTGAAATATGTTCATCAACTCAATCTCTCTTCTTTACACTTAACATCCATTTGACAGACAAAGGTATCGAGGGAAGTCTGCGATGCCATGATTTGTATGGAAGCATAGTATGAAGATTTATTCAACAGCATATATGATATTCCCCATCTACACCAGCGTGTCTGTCTGTCTGTGGATTCATCAGAAGTTGATATTTCCATACTCATGTATATAACGTGTGTGAACTTGATGATCACTACTAATGATTGTCGCTGGTACAGGCCGCCGCGGAGTCCCAATCACGCTGATCCTCAACCGAAGCAGGCACCAAAGTCAAACCCAAAGACGATGAAAGATGCCGAGCCCCAATCAAAGAAGACGTCGGATTCAGGGTCAAATCCACAAGAGCAAGAGAAGCAAGACAAGAAACCTATCTCTGATGCCAAACGCCAACGAGATAAACGCCGATGGAAGAAGTATAGCGAGAAGAAGAAACAGAAGAAGCAGGCGAGAAAATTGAAACAGCGGCAAAATAAGCAAAAGACAAGCGAAGAACTTGATGGTAAGTTTTCTGGCAAAGAATACGATAACCAGCATGTTTAACAATCTTACGCAGGAATAAACAACAACAAGAACAAGCTACCACCAACGCCCCAACTAAACCCCACCAAATCATTCCCGAATGCAGCTCATGATGAATTTTATGGATTTGGCGACCCCATGTCTATAGATGAGGATGATGATGATGATGATGATGATGATAGTTCTCTTCAAAACTCTACTGTCAGCGTTACTGTTCAGCCTGTCGGTACTACTACGATTAATCTGGACAGCACCTTACGAGCTATTGCTAGGAACGCACGACTTCAAATAGATATCGTTGACGCAAGTTACCAAAGTCAATATTCAGGGACGAAGCTGGAATAAATTTGAGGACTTCCTTTCTGATCTGAAGTTGATGCCTCCAGATCTATTTCGACCTTACCAATGTTCAATATGCTCTGATTACACTGTTGGTAAAAGATATTCGTTGAGAACTCACTATATGATGAAACATGAGCAAGCATTGGAATTTCCAAAGCCAAGTCTCAAAAGTCCTTGGGCAATGGACCTTTTAGCATGGAAATGCCAATTATGCCCACCTGGATCTCTGCAGGGGCTTCACAGCGAGAGGACCACACTCAAGAATCATCTCCAAAGTCAGCATTTTAATAAATTGTGATTATCAATTCACTCGCGCTTTATCTCCTGCGAAGCTCACCAAAGCTACATTGGCAAGCTGTCTCACAGAGTTAGCGGATTCCATTCTGGCAGTTTTATTGTTTATCATGAATTGCTCATAATAGTTGCTTTTAACGGAGTATATTTGGTCAAATGTTGTCGACGTAAATGAAATGGTGGGGAAGGGGCGCCGGGGAGAAATAAATGTATATATATTATCAGTTTGCTATATAAGTTAGTATGCTTCAGCTTGCTTGTAATATACATTGGGTTCCCAAAATTATGGTCGCGCCTTAATCTCCTAATTCAAGTTCAAGAAAAAAAAGTGAAGTCGTCTTAATTTCATAATAAAATTTCAATCAACCAAAAGTGAAGTCGTCGTCTCGCTCGCACCCCACGAAGTTCAATTTTGACGCACTTAATTTACTTTCATTCAATACCCACATTCAACATTCAAAACTCCTAATATCTACCACCTCTTGATTTGGCACTCAGAAAATCGGAATTAGTGAACCTTCTGAAATCGAGAATTCAATTCACGTCGAGATTTCTACCGAGAACGAAAACCCTACGGAAGTAGAAGCTCCCGCAGAGGACGAAGAGCTCAAGGGAATTTTCGAATCGATCTAGTCCAACACATATTTATGGAGATTGTAGTATGGGGTAAGTCAAAATTTCATTCCTCCCACATACTATCCATTAGCCTTGACAATCCAAATCCCACTCCGCCCTATCCCTCCCCATCCCACATCTACCTCTACATCTCCCTCTTTCTCTCCCCTAACTCCCTCCTCGACTCCTCAAGTAGCTAATCAATGATCCCCAAACCCGCAGCATCAACACACCAGCACCAGCACCGAGCTTTCCACCCCTCCATCCTCACCCCTCTCCGCTCGCCTCACTAACCTCCAACTCTCAAGTCTCCAAAGCATCACCATTCATCAAGAAAGTCTCTACCGGTAGGTATGCATACCTCAACATTCAACATTCAACATGAAATATAACTAGACCATTGACACGGCAACGAATCCATCGTACTTAACATTCAAATCATATCTAATACAGTGCACAATGGTGATAGCCGTAAGAAAGCCCACTTGCTCTGCTCATTCATGAGTTCCATTGTGGGGGAAGAAGTACTTGCTTCTTTTCCCAATATCAGGGTATTAGCAACAATCGAGGGAGCGAAAGCCTTTTCGGGGGTATGAAGAGCTATTATAAAAAATGATGTATAGGTAGCTACACGGTTGAATGATGTAATATTGAGTTTTAAATTAGAAATTGCGGGAATGAGAAAAAAGTAATGTGAAATGCATTCGGGATGTTTGGCTACAGGAAATCCTTCAGCTTGTGTATTGGACGAAAGCATAGTTGAAATGAAGGATTTTGGTGCAAGATGACCCCAGGCATGGTTAGGTATTCGAGCTGGACATAAGAAATAACATCGTATGAGTGAAGTAAGTTCCACCGCATTCAGTAGACTACTACCAAGCGTAGACCCATGGATCTTGTGGCATTTGAGAAGTGGTACCCCAGAAAATATTCCGACTTAATTTATGATTGTTAATATGCTCCATTTATTGACGTCTAAAAGATATCAATCTGCTATTTTTGACCCTCTCCTCCAGTAAGCGAGTCAGTCGTTTTTCAGCTAGATAGCTTCCCGCCCTTCCACTCCCCACTCCCCAGTCTCCTGACCTCGGACCTTCTAGCTGCGCTTCGTCCTCCACCCTATCGTCATATTTTGTCAATATTTATCTGCCTCAATTTATACTTTTCTCCAATCAGTCATACATCTTCCCACACATCCTAGTCCCGCAACATCCACAACCTTCTCATGCCAACTGAGCAACACACTCATTGAAGAGCCGCTACTTTCATTCTGTGCCCCTGGTCTTCCACCTCCAATTTGTGAGAAGCCACCGGTGCTTTGAGGTGTAAGTTTACTCGAGCTTGCATTTGCCTTGGATGCCATGCCCTTATATCTACCATCAATATCAAATCATTAGCACATTCTCCTAAAGAGTTTCAACTCCGCACCAATAGAAATTCAAGTATGACACGCACAAATATTTCATCAAACAGTCCAATGCATCTCCACCCCCCTCACTAGCCATAACCCTTTTTAACAATGGCGTCATCTCGCTCGCCTTGATACTCTGCAACACTTCCATCACAGTACCCAAATGCACCTCCTTCACCGAATCACTACTTCCATACGGAGCATTTTCGAGCGCGCCCCGAAGAGCACCCTCTGCATCTCCTCCTCGAAGCAATTGGCGTATCTGCTGAGCTAGATTACGGATATCGGCATCGGAGACAGGGGGAAACTGGGCGGAGAGAGTGGAGATATCGAAGTTGGTGGAGGAATCGGGATCAAGAGCGTCGATGTTGATGGTGCGCCAGTTGTCGGAGAGAGTGGCGTTGGATACTTGCTGGATGATAGACATGGCGGAGGGATTGACGAAGGAGTATGCGAATGGGCTTGTGGTTGAAGTAGCGGGGTTGTGAGTTTGGAGTGAGTTGGCGGATTGAAGAGTTGTCGATTCCGCTAGTTGATGCTTTTGTAAGCTGTAGAGTGAAGATGAATTTCCTTTTATTGATTTCACTCTTCAGATTCGTGAGTCTTGAATCGTGGTCGAGTGATTCTTGTTGTAGTGAGTGTTGATTTCAATATACCATCAATGGATGGGTGGATGACAACGGTAAGCTCCTGAAGCCTCGCTGTAATTACATAACGCATCGCTGTTCTACGGTAACCTCTTGGACACACCATTTCCCATCTACGTTCAAATCTTCAAACCACAAACGCATTTCTACCCCCTTCATCCTTCTCTGCATATTCCAGAATCGCGTTCGTTCGTTTGTCCCTATCATCCCATCTACCTATTTATCCGCTGCAGATCTCATCATATTATTATTTAAACCCAGATCGTTATCGCACAGAGACGCATACCTACATGCTCCATACATACATATATATCACATCACACGTAAGATTTCTATCTGACTTATTATAATACCCAAGGCGGTACTTGCATTCCGTCCACTTCCAAGAGAAAGTAAAAATGTATATTTGGAATTTTACCAATATATTGATTGTAGGGGAGGGACATCTTTGCGAGGGAGGTATGAGCGTATGATCGTATCTCGAAACCTTTGCTTTTGCATTTATTGTTTGTACTCACTTGCTTTTTTCAAGGACAAACATTATATATATCTTGATTCGGGAGAGCTGACTCGGATACGGGAAACTTTGTTTGTCTGAGTTTCATGAACCCTTCCCGATGAAATGTGATGTATTACTTTTGGTTTAAGAGTAGTTCTAGACTTGTGTAGATCGATATGGGGAGATGAGAAAGAGGACTTGTTTTAGTGATCTTACTCTTTGCTCAATTGGTTACGTAGCTTCTGAGATCGATATCGAAGTTGGCACATGTCAATGTCATTAAGCAGAATTGGGAGAGGACAGACTCAAAGTATTAAAGTGGTGATTTTGATTACTAAAGTTTAATTATGAAGGACCCTAAAGCCAAAGTGTGCTCGATTGCTCTTCTGAACTCCTTGCGGAGATATCTCTTGTACAGTTCTAGGTTGGGTATATGGGTTCCACCTCCATCCCTCGCTCGTCGATCAGGAACCAGTCCGTGAAAGCAGGATGGAGAGAGCGGAGACCAATCTATCTCTCATGACAAACAAAACAAGTCGCTGCGCAGGTACAAGCAATAGAAGTGCAAAAGCTTTGAAAGAATAGTATAGAATACAAGATAATAGTGTAAGTCTTTCTTCCAAGATACAAAGCATACAAGTCCCACCAGTTCATCAAAATTCCAAAATATTCCCATCGTGTACAAAATTCCCACGAGGCGTGCCCAATCCGCGAGGAAGATAGCAACAGACCCTTTCTTTCCAAAAACAAGTGTAACGCACCAAACGACCCAAGGAAATGGAAATAGTACAACCAGCAAGTCTATATGCAAACCCTCGCAGAAATACCAAAGACAAAACACACAGGAGTGCTCCTAACCAACCAAACATTTTTAATATCCCGAGCGATTCCCAATTTTTTGTCCGAACCATTTGAAAAGAATAAAAATACAGTGCAAGTCTAAAAACACCAAAAAACCAAAGAAACTGCCGCAGTGAAAAAGGGAAATGTAAATGTGTTGAATGAACAACGAGCCCAAGTCTAGATGCAACGCCTTCCCTTTCTCCCAAAAATTTGTGTATCTGCATGTAATTCCGGAAAACTCGCAAGAAATCAGACCCCGAAGAAAAGACTTTTTGATGGGCAGTGTGTACTGTGGATCGAGACCGCCATCCTTTCTTCCGAGTGAACTTTTGAATGTGAGGAGTGCGATTGAGGTGTCTCAGAGTCGGATAAGATTATCGAAGTTGTCTGGAATGTAGATAAAATCGTGTGGAGAATGGATTGGGAGGGGTCAAAGTCGCACGCAGCGCGAAAAAGGAAATTCGTCGCGAATCGTAGGCAAAATTATTATACAGAAGGGTATTGTTGACCAATATTAAAAGCATGATTTTGTCGAATAGTGTATGTTGAGAATGTTAATCAGAGTAAGAGATGGATGTGTGAGAGCTGTGTCGGGAATCGTGAGGTTCGAGATAGACGAAGCTGGAATCTGGGGAAGGGTAAAGGGTAAGGAGTTGATGTGGAGATATCCTCTACCGGACCTAGATCCTGCGTA